TGGACGAAAATAATTGTCGCAACACATCCATACGCCACGCGTTACAATTACTGTCAATAAGCTCATCAACCCAAGAAAAACCCGACCCAGCCACCCGCGGCCCCAAAGGCAGTGATAGACCTGGGATCCATTGAAAACAATAATACCATTGTTTTCGGCTTTTAAAAATATAACACAAAACATATAAGAAAAAAAAAAAAGAAAAGTAGATCAATAGGTTATCAAAAAAATGGCAAAAGTAACTTTAGAAAAAAAAAAAAAAAAAAAAAAAAGAGCACAAGTTTGAAAAACGTATAAATTTTTTTGCATAAAACCCCATGAACTACTTTTGGGAGCATGTCAGACCTCCACCTTTTAAAAATGAAGTAAATACTCCCATTTAGGAATTTTATTTGAATTTAAACGAAAAAGAAAATAGAGAAAATGAAAAAAAGAAATTGTTCCTCGCATTTAGGAATTTTATTTGAATTTAAAACACAAAAATCATTAACCCTTCTTTTATAGTGAAATCCATTATTGTTTATTAATACACTCTAACATATTTATTTAACTTTTTTAATTATAAAAAAGTGGTACTTTTGACTTATATTATATATTTTTAATTTTATTTTCTCTTCTCATATGTTTTATATGTGCATGAATGTTAATTTATTTAATACTTAAATAGATTATTATTTATTAATTTAATAAAAATTATTGTTACACCACATTTTTTTAAAAAATAAAAACGATGACTTAAAATTTTAAAATAAGTCCCAATTTGTACTAGACAGTCTTAAAAAAAATTTAAAAAATGAAAAACCCCTGCTATACAAAAAGAACGTGCAAGAAACACCCATATTAAAAATTAAGTTTATATAACTCCTTGTATTATCAACCTTACTTAGCAAATTGTCCCTAATCATCAATTTTGACCAATCTTTTTATAAAAACCCCAAAATGACCTAAGTGATAATAGAAACTAAATAGCTTCATTGTTCAACCTTGAAAGTTTCAGCGACGACCCAACTAAAGAACAACTCTAAGCAATCAACGACCCAATTGAGAAAACAAACCCAAGAAGTTTGAAACTCCGGTGACGGTGAACCCACTTTGGTGACCATCTAGCAAGTTCACCTTGCAACTCCGGCAACAGCAATCTCTCAAGTAACAACAAGATTACGTTGCTTGCAACTTTGGCAACGACGAGCTCAAAACAGAAGCTTTCCGGCGAGCACAGACAACATCAAGCTTGGATCTGTGAAGAGCTCAGTGGGGGCATCCGCCCCTACTAAAAAAATTGATTATTGTATTTTACACCCCTAAATTTATACTTTTTGTATTTATACTTATAAAATTTTGAAATTGTCCCCACTGAAATTATGAAAAAACTCCTTTATATAAATTTGCCCCCTCATATGAATTCCTAGATCCGTCCTTAGACAGCAGCGCACCATTTTCAACAGAGCTCCAAGCTAGAACGAACCAAGTTCTGTGAATTCCAGTTAATTCCGTCATCCTCATTCTTTGACATGCAATGGAATGAAATGGAAAAATCAAGAAGCTTGCAATTGTATTGCTTGTTGACTGATTTTATGACCAAATGAATTTGCCAATTGATGAACAAATGGGATTCTTTTAATCTTATGTGGATATTTTTTTTCTCTCCTTAATTGACTGCAGATTCAATACCCATCAAGTATAGAATATATATATATATATATATATATATATATATATATATATATTCCTGGCAAACAACAAACAATAACCAAAAGCTTCCAAAATCACAGTAAGTCAAGCTACACGCGATGGAGGATATCCAACAGGGTGTGAGAAAGAACAATGTCCTCATGAATATGACTTCTAGAGAGTTTAGCAATCATATTTTCCACCTCGTTGCCATGTCTACGCACATGACTAAGCTGAAACAAGGGAACTCTATAAAGCCCATACTGAATATCATGAATAACAACTGTAACATCCGCAGGGCAAACATCAACATAAAAAACAGTCTTGCAAACAATCAAAGAGTCAGTTTCGAAGCAACAATAAGGAAACAAAAATTGACGAGCCCATATGATTGTTTTGCGAAGACAAACAGCTTCAGCCTTAGTAGCATTATGAGCTTTGAATGAACAAAAAACAACTGCATGAAGAATGAACCCATCGTCATCACGAAACACAGCCCTTCCACCACCCAGATAGGAAATAGAAGAGAAGAGGGATCAACATTACATTTGATCTCTCCAGCACGTGGGAGGGCCCAACTAGAGGATAAGGGAAAATGATTGCTTTTTCCCATGGCAATAACCGTTGAGGATGAGAGTCCAAACTTCGAAACTTCCAAGAATTCCCAATAAAGAGAGTAAGCTGAGTTCACAATCTGAAGATCATCCCAACATTTATTATTGAAAATGACAGAGTTTCAAGCTTTCCAAATTTGCCAACAAATATTGGCAACAAGACCAAGAGTTTTAAGCCCTTCCTCTTTAAGACCCCACAAAGAAATTAAGTCCCCCTACCAAACTTGAAAAGAATAAGGCTGATTGGAAGTAAAATCAAAATAAAACGGTGACAATTTCTAAACACTAACAAACTTGGGGCATGAGAAAAGAAGGTGAAGTAAAGTTTCATCTGCAAGACCACATCGATGACATATAGGGTCTTCACCAATGCTTCGGGAAACAAGGTTAGCATAAACGGAAAGAGCATTTTTACAGCATTTCCAAACAGAGAGCTTTATTTTCTCTTTAGCTTTGCAACGCCAAATTCCACGCCACACATATTTGGAAGATCCTAGTAAATGACCACCATCATTTGATGGAGTAGGCACAAAACTACCCATGCTCAAGGTTTTAACTGCAAGATAATACGTGGATTTAACCGAAAAACTTCCTTTCGAGTTCGGAGCCCAAAATTGTTTATCTTCCATATTGAAGAGACTAAAATGGCAGTTTTGAATATGATTAACAACCGAAGTGAGCAGCCATTTAACCACCTCAGGCATGTTACACTTGTTTGAATAAGGATCAATAAGCTCAGAAACCTTTTGGGGACAATTCGGGGATGATGGCTTTGGAAGCGTACCTGAAAAATTAGGGACCCATTTATGTGACCATATATCAATAGGCTGACCATTCCCAACGATTTAGTGGGTTCCTTCTTTTATTAGGCTCTACGTAGACCAAATGCGTCTCTATGCCCATGATGGATTGGACCTAAGGGAGGCTTGGAGAAAAGAACAATTCTTAAAGTATTTAGCTTTGAAAAGCTGGAAAGTTAACTCTTGTTTCTGCACCTAAAAATTCCACCCATGTTTAGTGAGAAGTGCCACATTATAATTTTCAAAATTACAAAAACCCAAACCACCAACTTCATTGCTTGTACAGAGATCTTCCCACTTCACCTAATATATTTTCCTAGAAAAATTCTGGGAACCCCACCAAAATCGACGGACAATAGATGTTAAAGATAAACAAAGCTTATGTGGAAGTTTAAAGCATGACATAACATAGGTCGGGAGAGCACTTAACACAACTTTGATAAGAACCTCTCGTCCTGCTGAAGAGAGAAGGCATGATTTCCAGCTTGCTAAACGATCGACCATTCGTTGATAGACAAAATGAAACACATCCCATTTAGATTTCCCAATGATGATTGGCCTGCCTAAATATTTTTCCTTCAAACATTCTTCACGAATGCCCAAAATATTGCATATTTCTTTTTTCCCTTGATGAGTAATATTTTTAGAAAAGAAAATGGATAATTTTATGAAATTAACTTGCTGACTTGATGCATGATGCATGCTCATATCTATGAAGAATATTTTTTATGGATGTAACTTCAGACTTGGAAGCTTTGCAGAAAATGATTGAGTCATCTGCAAAAAAGAGATGGGAAATTTCTAGAGCCTATCTGCAAATTTTAGTACCTGAAATAACTCGGTTCTGACAAGTAACCCGCAAAGAACGTGATAATGCTTCAGTACAAAGAATAAATAAATATAGAGAAAGAGGATCACCTTATCGCAAGCCTCGGGATGGTTTAAAGAAACCCACAGGATTACCATTAAAGACAACTGACATTAATAGAGTTGAAACACATTCATGATAAGGTTAATCCAGTGAGCATGAAACCCAAGTTTTTCCATCATGGTTTTCAAAAAAGACCATTCAATACGATCATACGCCTTACTCATTCAAGTTTTAAGGCAAAAAATATTTTTTTTCCTTTTCGTTTATTGGCTGCCATATTTTTGTAACTAAATTTTTGCTATCAATGAAAATTTGTATGGTTGCTTTGAAAAAAAAATCACCTATCAAACCCACACACACCACCACAAGAGGGACGAAATTATGTTGTACTGAGGGGCAATTTTTTCTTTTACTATTATATTTTATTATTTTTGTCATTTTGATATATATACTAATGAAATATTACCTTTGTCCCTTTTGATTTTTTTTTTAAAAATTCAGCATTGCCTCTCCTCTCTTGAGTTTCTAGGTCCATTCCTGAGTGCACCGACAACCCCCGTATTCCCTCTCTTCTCCGAGTGCCACTACCACCAATAACTTTACAAACTTCACCTCTACGAATTCCAGCCGTGGCTCCCTTAAATTTCTGATGTGGATCAGGGTTATTTAACCATGGCCTCTCATTTGCATAAATATATATACACACACACACACACTGATACAAATATATATATTTCCTATATTATATATTATTTTATTTTATTGTAAGGATACATTAATCAGTTCATGGTTCAATTTCCTCACAATATCGTATTTGTACAAATAAAAAATAATAAGAAGTTTTTCGAACAATACGGCAATAATTGCACATTTTGCCTATTATGAGATTTTTTTTTTGGACACTTAACCGTAATAAAAATTACAAAATTTGTAAAAGGCAGTGTATCAAATTCTTATGAGAGGTTAAATTTTTTTATTTTTTTTACAATTAACGATCATATAACAGAGTCCGGTGCACACACACCGCCCCTTCCACGACCGAACCGGGTCAGCACCGCGAACTATATAAAATTCTTAATTCCTAATAAGAAACAGCACGTTTTGACACCAATTCGTGCTTAATTCCTTAAACAACGCTGACCCATCAAAAGTCGCAACAAACCCAGTTTGTAAAGGGCAACAAAATGGAAGAAGAAAGCAGAAACTGGAGCGAATCGGTGGACGACCTCGTTCACAGAGGCGATGTCGATGAGGCCATCTCTCTTCTTGAACGGGTGGTTTCGAATTCATCGCATTCGGATCTTCAATTGTCCTCTGCTCTCTTCGACTTGTCCAAACTCTTCCACTCCAAAGGCTTCTCTCTCAAAGCCGACGAGGCTCACTCTCGCGCACTTGTCATCAGACAACAGTCTCAGCAGACTCCAAATCCTCAAGGGTCAGACCCAATTCTTCTTTTTTACTTTTACATGCTCTTTTTTTTTTTTCCCTGTTTGGTTGCTTAGAAAATCGAGGAAAATGCAACAGGATTGAATTTTGAAATGTTTGTGTTATGTGCATGTGTTTTTTTCTTGCTTAGGTGCCATTTTGAGAACTAATTGAGATTCGTTTACCTTTTTCTTGCATTTCTTGGCTGCCAATTGGGTTTTAATTTCTTGGGTTTTTGATGTTGTTTTCTGTTCAGTGATTTAAAATTTTCGAATAAAAAATCAGAGGAAGAAGGCATTGCAGCTTCTAGGGTTTCGGCTAGTAATGGGTCTACAGATGATGGTTTGTTCTCTGTTCTTAGCTTTACATTTCTATCGGAATTGTGTGTGTATATATATATTACCAATGATGTTGTTCACTAAATTTAACTAAGCTTTATCCTCACTATCTGGGTTGGCTGCACAAATGTTTTTGTTGTCATTCATTGATTATTTTCCAAGAAGTAACGGGTTGTGGCTTCTGTCTTGAAGGATATAGGGGGAAACCTTCAAAAATGCCTGCAGATGATTTGCCTCATGAAAGTTGTTCCGACGATGGTACTTACCTTATTCTTCTACATTCATCATTTTAGGTGACATTTTAAATTGGGTGTTGGCTAATCCTCATTATAAAACTCAATGCAACTCAATAAAGCCATTTAAGTTTTTGACATTGGGCTTAATTTCCACATGTCTATTTTATATTTGGAAATATCATGCGTTTAGTCATGTTTAGTTCTATTTAGGTCACATATATTGCTGATCATAGGATATTGTGTGTCTTGATATATCCAATAACCATTTGGTCTTCTTGGCCTTCCATGGATTCTTTTAGCACCTAGACCCTGAACTTTATCACCTATTAGTTGTTACTGGTGACATCATTGGTCTTCGTTGTACATGACATGATTATGTCAATTACTTAACTCAAAATAGTTCCACAAGATTCCTCAGAGTTTATACCAGCTTTTGAAATTGTTATATTTGCACATATGATGTTGAGACTTCTCCATCAATCTGTTATATATATAAGAACCACTTGTTTTGTAATTTTTTTTTTATAAGTAATTATGAATTAAAAAAGGCGTTCAAGAGGGGAACGCGTCCCTTAAACAATAGTGGAATCGAGGGCTAAGGCCCCAAAGAATCCAAAAAAGAAATTAAATCATTAGAACTCAAAAGAGGAGCAAGATGCCAAGAACTCCTCTTCACATAACTAAAGAGAGAACGAATAATAAAAAGTTTCAGCGTCGCCGTAGACGACTCATTCCCTTCGAACATTCTACTATTTCTCTCCTTCCAGATGCACCACCAAACGCAATGTGGGACAATTCTCCAGTAATCCCGTACATCCTTACTCACACGACATCCTCTCCAAGCATAAATCAAAGCCTTTGAAAAATGTGGCATTACCCAACACATACCAAACAACCCAAGAATAAGATTCCAACAATCGTGCACCACGGGGCAATGCATTAGGAGATGATCAACTGACTCCCCGTTTTGCTTGCAAAGGCAACACCAGTTAACAAAACAATTTCCCCTCTTCCTCAAATTATCAATCGTCAATACCTTACCCCAAACAGCGGTCCATACAAAGAATGCCACCCTAGTTGGAGCCATAGAACGCCTAATGGTTTTCCACGAGAAGTCAAGGCTATCAAAATTAGGCAGACATAAGAACAAAGATATTACTTCAAAACGACCATGAGTAGAGGGAATTCATGTCAAATTGTCAAAACCCCTGCCAACTCCCTCCTTTCGGTACAATAGATCTAGGAAAACACTTACCTCGTCCAACTCCTAATCCTGAAATGAACGTTGAAAATGCACGTCCCACGTAATTCCACTACTATCAAGCCGATAACAGTCAGCTACGTAGGCATGTTTATCAACTGCAATACTGTATAATATGGGAAATGTACGAAATAATGGCTGATCAACACACCAAAGATCCTCCCAAAAATGAACGCAACTGCCGTCACAAACTTTGAATCTGATATGAGAAGAAAAGGCATCCCATCCTTTCCGAATGGATTTCCACACCCCAATTCCTCCCACAAGAGAAACCGGATGGGTAGACCAACCGCCAATGTCTTCCCCATACCGACATGAGACTAACCTTCGCCAAGGACGATATTTTGTAATTTTGACTGTTTCGAATCACGTGAGTTTAGTTTTAACATAAGTTAGGTATAAAGTGAGTAGTGAAGGTTCAGCTCTTGGCTCCTTAGTGAGATGCTTACATGCTATGAGCCTATGCTTCATTGTGTGGACATCAATTACACTGCCATTCTAATCTCAGTTTATTTTATCCCTGAAATAATGTCGCGGATCATCTTTAACTAATATTATTTATGATTTTATTCAAATGATGCTATGGACGACTACAGATTGGGAAGCTATCGCTGATCGTGCTCCAGATGAATTACTTCCTCCTGAATGCATGCCAGGAGTTTCAAAACTCTCACTGGAGGAGACCAAAGTTAAAGCACCTAAAAGGCGTGGAAGGGGAACATTCTCATATAGGAAACATAGCTTGTATAGTGACCAGCAGACTGATGAGTCTAATGTTGATGACTCAGAAAATGGAATTTTGTGCCATAGTTCTGAAGGAGACACGGAAATTAGAAAAGGTACGTCATTCATGTGTATTGCTGTGTTTCACTTCAAGCTTTTACTCCTGAAAGTGTGTCGGTAGTTCAGTTTTTATTTATTTTTTCTCATCTCATTGACTTGACCCTTTTGTTGAACTTGGCATTTTATAGGAAGTACTGTTGTGATATAAAGGTGTGAAACGTTGTTATGTTGGAGTGATTTAATTGTCTCACAGTTGAAATTGTCAGTTTCCTTTCATATAGTTACTTCAATTTGAAAAAGTTGTTTGGCGCCCGCCGCGGGGGGGGTGGGGGGTTGTGTGGGGGGTGGTGGGGACTGTTTTTTATGGACATATTATTACTACATTACTGCACAGAAAAAATATCTTTTCACTAAATGCTGGTTAAGTTCATCTGCACCGAATGCAAATAATATGCGTGAGGGTTGAATTTCTGTTAGATGGCTTAAATGCCCCGCATTTTATTTGACCATTTCCTAGGTTACCTTTCCTTAACAACACAAGCAATCTTTTCCTACATGATTAAGATATTCCATTCTTGGTGGTAGTTATGGTTAAGATTGAGTTGACCGTTAAAGAGTGAAAGATCAAATTAAACCTATAGGCAAGAGTGGAATACTAGACCATTCTAGAAAGAAAAAGTTGGTTTTTCCATCAAGTGTCTATTTGACATTTTTATGTCTTAGTTTTTATAAATATCATTTTTTATTTTGCTATAATTATCAATAATTTATTATTATTGTTATGATTTATAATAAATAAGCTTGTGAGTTTGCTATAAGCACAAAATGAGCTGCATGAAGTAATTCTGGATGTTTACCTCTTTTGATATGAAAGGCATTTGGAGAATTTAATAAATTCATGATTTAAATTACAAAGTCATGCTAGAATCTGAAATTGCATATTCTCTGTGATGGAGCGGATACATTTGTCATTTTGTTAGATATACTTCAGTAAGAATTACTATGTCTTATTATGTTATTTGAATTTCCCACATTTACTCATTATTTATTTTTTGGACAATTATTGCAACTGAATGCAAATTCAAGTAGCTCACGCTGCTCATTGTAAAAAAAGTCGCTCATCTAGAGATTGTGATTTGATGATGGAACTGATTTGAGTATCTTACAACCCTTCATAAAACATTTTATGCAAATTGTTTGAAGAGGAATGCTAAGGACAGTTGCCAAGGCGACTGCCCATTCATTCACATTCGCTGTTCTTATTGGTGAGTATAATTATAACTAATGCCTTCATTAATTAGATATTTCCTATTTTTACGAGATATTAAAATATATATTTTTATGGACAAAACTTCCCTTATCTCTTTCATTTACCTTTTTCCCATTCTTCCCTCCATTCACCAATGGGTTTGTTTATATATATATAAAAATAAATCACTAACAATCTGTGAGTGGATTCTTTCTTCTTTATATATATATATATATATAAATATTTTCTCCTTATGAATTCATGGTTCGAGAGACGAGGATTGCATTTATTAGAATATATATATAAACTGGCATCCGGATCTACAAGGAAAAAAAGAAAAGGAAAGGAAAGTAACACATACGGATCTAACAAGGGAAAAAAAAAAAAAAAAAACAGAAAGTAACAACTCTTAGAACCAATGAGAACAACGACTGTGAATGGGCAGTCGCTTTAGCGACTGTCCTTAGCATTCTTCTTGTCTGAATTGAGTAAAAGGAATCAATGATCCTAGCTCATGTAGAATAATTCAAGTTGTGTGTATGTGTCTAATACGAACTTTCATAATGATTTTCTTTGTAGTACAAAAAGAAAAAAATAATAAGCAGATAAGAAAGAAATAGTAAGCATAATAAAGGTTGTACTAATTGTTGGACATCATCGCGATAGATGCAACTGTCACTGATAATTAAGTTATGTTTTTAGATTAGACGCTTAAATAAGGATAGAGACCCCTCCTCCTCACCCTCCTGTTCCCCTCTTTTCTTTTGCTCTGCCTGTTTGTTAACTATCTCATTTTATAATATTACAATTTGTAATGTATGGGTGATGCACGATCTGGAATAATGTTGAAAATTTTCCCATTAATTTTTTTTTTTTCCGAATGTCCTATCAACTAAGTCAAGTTCATGCATGAGCTATGGGTCAAATAGTAACCAAGATCTGGAATTTTGTCTTTGTGATTTCAGCAAAATATGGTACAGATCATGTTCTTGTTCTGGATGACTTTCCACCAAGTACGCGGACAATTGACCTGGAAAAGCTATTGGAAAGTTTCAAAGATCGCGGAGTTGTGATTCGCTGGGTTAATGATACAACTGCTCTTGCAGTTTTTAGAACACCTTCAATTGGTAAGCATATTTTAACTAGAGAATACATACTTTAAAAATAGAGATGAACGCTTAATGACCTTTAAAAGTGGATTAAATATGAGTGAATTCAACTTCTTTCTAATTTAAAAGGCAGACCAATTTAACATGCAAAGATTGTAAAGTTATCCTAGGAGAAATTTTGACATCATAGCATAGGATACTAGTTTTAGTGTATACAAGAAATAGAATTACAAATCCAAGAACTAGGTGGTGGAATTTCAGAGGGAGAAACTAAAATTATTTAAGAATAGGATATGAGAAGTATCAAAGTTATTACTTATCAAAAAAAGAAAAAAGAAAAAAAAATGTAGTAGTGAAGTACAGGACCGGAAACCCTAGGCTCTGTTGTAGAGAGTAGGCACAATGCTTAAAATAAATCTTGAGGGGGTGACTAGATCTTGTTCAATTTTAACTAACAATAACTGAATTTAAAATTATCACAATTATATTTGAAATGTCACAATATGAATCCCGTTAAGGATAGAGAATGAACACAAGATTTTTCGAAAACTCCAGCAGGGAAGAATCACGAAACTTAGTCTAAGCAGATCAAATACACTGACTAGGTAGATATTACAAATTCTACAATTCCATTTATTCTAAAACCACACTTAGGTTTGTTACTATTTGTAGCTACGAGGTTCACTGTCAATTTGTCTAACATAAAATAACCAATGGTGAGGCATCAAATAAAACATAATAGGATCCAAGGTGGACTGAGAGGTGGAAGCCTGGGAAAACGAGAGAGAGAGAGAGAGAGAGAGTGAGAGGATGACAGTGTTCAAAAACACCATTGACTCCCTTGGTGAAGGTGTGAAGTGTGGGAAAAATATGGGTGTGAGAGCATAAGATCTTTCTATGTCTAAAGCTCCATCTTGTCATATGGTTCTGCCTCTTTTCCTTGGCCTTAGGTCATCTCTTTTTATAGGTCAAGTGAGAGTGGGTGATGTCATTGATGACATCACGTGTGGTCCATTAATATAATAATGAAAAGAGATTAATTTGTCAAATAATTAAGAAGCAATATTAATTAAGATGGGTAATTTGTACGCGAGTCAAAACGGTATTTCTCTCTCTACAAGTCTGGTCAACTCGACGGACCTGGACTTCGGCCACCAAACCAAGTACCTCCTCGAATCGTAGGTAATTCTAAGTCCTGTTTCTAACTCAGGTCTTCGATCTTCTGTTCAAGATATGTTGATGATGTAGTAACTTTAATCGTTGATCATAAAATGTGGGCCATTGTTGCTGTTGTGGCGTAGCCGTTAACCGTTTGACCAAGTTATGTAGGCCATTGTTGATGATGTGGCGTTTGCCAAGTGGACTCGAGCATATTGACACCCACATTTAGTCCTACACGAGTGTGCTTCGTAGAAAGTAGAAGGTTAGTTGGGTATAAAATGATGTTTTGTGCTTTTATAAGCAAAGGAGGAATCTTTAGAGATTCCTAAAGGAAAAAGATTTATAAGAAAAAGTTTAAGCAACGAGGTGCCCCTAGATGAGGTATCTCAGAAAGGGTCATCTCGTGGAGATTTCTCAGCAAAAAATTAGCAATGAGATATCATGCGTGACTCGAGTAAAGTGCTCGTCGAGGCAGGACTCGAGGCTAAGAGCTCGTCAAGGTGGTGAGACATCTCGTGGAAGTTTTCTTGGATGAAACCTACGTACGACGCATCCCTATGTGGGACCTTTTATAGTGAGGCATCTCTGAAAGAGGCATATCGAGGGTGAGAGCAAGCCAAATGAAAGGCTCTAGACACTGCAACAAGAATGAAGCGTGTTGTGCTAGGTTACTCGATAAACTATTAGGACTTACATTATCAAAAAAATAAACTATTAGGACTTGGTTCATTTGAGGCTTTAGGTCATTCGATGACTTCATTGGTGAAGTTTGGCCGATGCTCTGGGTCACTCTATTGACTGTTATGATAGTTCATTCGAGGCTTTAGGTCGCTCAATGATTTCAAGTCTGATTCGAGTCTCTGGTCAAGTTTGTGGGCCATTTGTTGATGTTGCCATGTGGACCACAAATATACAGGTACTTACAGTAGGTAGTCCCACGCGGGTGAGCTTCGTATAAAATAGAAGGTTAGTCATGCATAAAATGATATTTTGTGATTGTATAAGCCAGAAGAGGAACCTTTTGAGATTCCTAACGTTGAGGGATCTGATGATGAAAAGTGTCCCAACATTTTGCCAATTGAGGTTCTAGGTCCTTCGATCGACTATTGTGATTTAGTTCATTCGAGACTTTGGTTTGCTCGATGATCAGGCTGTGGGAGTAGGATCGAGACTCTAGGTCCTTTGATCAGCTGATCGACGAAATGACCTTGGCACATTCGAGGCTTTGGGGCGTTTGATGTCCATGTTGTGGGAGTCGGATCGAGGCTCTGTGGCGCTCACCGAATGACCTTGGCACATTCGAGGCTTTGGGGCGGTCAATGTCCAGGTTGTGGCGGTCGATGTCCAGGTTGTGGGAGTCGAATCGAGGCTCTAGGGCGCTCGATCGATTGCATGACCTTGTCACATTCGAGGCTTTGGGGCTGTTGATGTCTAGGTTACAGGAGTCGGATCGACTGAATGACGTTGTCACATTCGAGGCTTTGGGGCTGTCGATGTCCAGGTTGTGGGAGTCAGATTGAGGCTCTGGGGCGCGCTCGATGGACTGTGTTTGAAGAATTAGATTGTTCTAGTGTTTCGTGGCTTTGGGGTGCTTGATGGACTGTGTTCGAAGAGTTAGATCGTTTGAGTGTTTCGAGGCTCTGGGGCGCTCGACGGTTTGCAAGTGTGGCAAGTCAATGTATTAATCAAATGAACAGGTATAATATAACGTTAAAACTTATAATTAGCATACAAACCATCATAAATTAAAATAAGATAATAAATTAAATAATATAAAGAGAAGGACCATAGTACATAGGCTGCATCTTTATATGTATTGTAAAATATATATTTAACAGTGTTTAGGTCAAATGAACTTAAAAAATCGTGTAACAAAATCATGTCATCAGGTAGGTTTAGACTTATTACCCATGAGCATGATATTAAGTAGCAAAAAAGTGTGACGCATCTTGTGTCATATACACACTCATTAGATACATGTATGACATATGCATTGATGGGACAAGTTGTATCTTGAAAGATATGTAAGTGACTTTGTTGCATTGAGATATGGGAGCCAAAAATAGTGATAACACTTGATATTATAATTTTACATATGTTGAAAATAAGTGACTTTTTTTCTTTTTGGGCAAGATTCAATGCAAAGGTCACCTCACTACTGTTATCATAGCCACAATGCTAGATCGATAGATGTCATGGTGTAGGCTGTATCTTGTAACAGTGAGTAATCAGAGCAACAGTTTAGCCACAAATGCATTGGTGGGACCGGTTGATAGCAAAAAGTATTGCTCTACCATTGTCTAATAATGTATATATATATGTGTGTGTGTGTGTTTGTGTATGAAATTATGCATACCCACAAAGAAAGTTTTGGTACCAGTCAATATTTCTTTTGATTTTCTATGTAAAAGAAAAATCATGCTACACATAAAGTTATATTTATAACTTTCTATGTACTCTATTACCTTCAATATCAAAGAAAAATGATAGATATGTACCGTGTGAGAAGTACTTTAATTATATACAGCTAAATTTTGGTATCAGTCAATATTACTTTATTTCTTTTGACTTACAGAGTATTAAATATACATAGATATGTGAATATGATATTGAAGGTAATAAAGTATTGCTAGATATGTGAATATGATATTGAACGCTTTCTAATGCATTGAGATATGAGAGCCAAAAACAGTGATAAGACTTAATATATATGATAAGTAAGATTGTATTAGAAAGTGTTGAAAAGGGGAACGTATCCCAAAAGCTATACAAAGGCTGAAGTCAGAACTAGGGTCCTAAGGAGCCACCGAACGCAAAAAATCAATAAACTCAATAAATATACAATTTCTCCCCAAAATCCAACTAAAAAGAGAGTTAATAATATGGAACTTCAAAGCCCCCAAGGAAGATTCCTCCCCATTAAAAGATCTTCTGTTTCACTCCGTCCATAAGCACCACCAAACACCAAGAGGAACCGCCCTCCAACAATCACGGACGTGGGCCCCCACACTGCAACCTCTCCAAGAGTCGATCAAATCCCTCGAAGACCGAGGCATAACCCATTGGACACCGAAAAGTCCAAAAATAAGGCTCCAGGAGTCATGGGCCATTGAGCAATGTAAGAGAAGGTGATCCACGAACTCGCCATTCTTCTTGCACAGACAACACCAACACCAATTGACTGTAATTTGTCTTTTCTTTCTCAAATTATCCAGGGTCAAATTCTTGCCCCAAACAGCAGTTCAGACAAGACTTAATATTATTATTTTTTTGATAAGTAGACAAGACTTAATATTATAATTTTACATATGTTGAAATAGTGATAAGTGGTTCTTTTTTATTTTTTATTTTTATTTTTATGCGGCAAGATTCAATGCAAAGGTCACCTCACTACTGTTACCATAGCCACAATGCTAGATCGTTAGATATCATGGTGTAGGTTGTATCATGTAACAGTGGGTAATCAGAGCAATAGTTTAGCCACAAATGCATTGGTGGGACCGGTTGATAGCAAAAAGTATTGCTCTACCATTGTCTAATCATGTATATATATATGTTTATATGAAATTAGGTATAGCTACATAGAAAGTTTTGGTATCAGTCAATATTTCTTTTGACTTTCAGTACTTTTGTCGGATGTAAAGTGAAAAAGAAAAATGCTAGATGTGTACCATGTGTATAGTGAGAAGAAGTGTGCAGGTGGTTTACTGGAAAGTACCACCAAACATTGTGCAAGAGGTATATCATAGGTGCATAGAGTCACCAGTTTTTATTATTTTCACGTTGTAGCTATAGGCTATGAGCCTTAAAGCAAGATAACTGTAGTAAGCCCACAAAAGTAATAGGTGCCTGTAAGTACAAGATTTTCATCCGAAAATCTTTATAATGGAAAATATCTGTAGGATAAAGCGTGAGGTCTGATTTATAAAATAGTAAATAAAAGGTCAAAGAGTTTATTGATATTTCGTGATAAATGGCAAAGAGAGCTCAAGAGTTGATTGTTTTGAAGGTTGATACACTCATATCGATCAACTTTTGGGTAGAGCAAGCATCAAGCCTAGTAAAAGTGTGTCAGAAATCAGAATTGATTTTACGCTCATGTCCAGTAGATAAAGCTTTTCGGAAAAAGTTTCTCATATTGTATATATTGTTCAGGAAATTGTGTAAATTGTGTGGCTCGAGTAGAAGAGACTCGAAAAGATATAAAATGAGTGGGAGGTAGTGTAATGGATTTGTGAGCGAAAATGTCAAACTCTTTATTTATTTATTTATTATTTTTTGGTTGCAGCAAGAGAAAGTCATAGCAACCTACGGAGTATTAAATATACATAGATTTGTTCATATGATATTGATGGTGATAAAAGAATGATTTGCTCTGGTGAATGCTTAAGGTTACCGGATAAAGGGTGATAAAATATATATGTACCCTTTAATTGGATGTTTTTCAAAATGCTTTAGATCCATTCGAGAGGTTTGAGTCTGAAGCAAAAAAGCATATTCTTGTGCAGAAGTAGGAAATAAGCAATAGCAAGGCATAACAAACAAGTGAGTGCCGGATCTAGCATGATATTTTCAGATGTTTTAAACGTTTTACTGTTACTACATCATGCATCACAAACAGTGATAACAAGAAGGTTGAGTTTGGAACGAGATCACCACAATGAGGCATTAAAACTTGAATTCTTGAGGTGTATTGTGGATGGCTTCTTCTATGAATTTAGAGCAATGTCACTAGTACGAAGCAATTAATCCATGGTGACCTCTTACATATCCACCAGACTCCTTCCATGATTTATATGAGGATACCTCCCTAGTGGAGTCGCCAAAATGTAGGTACTAGGTTCACAGTCAAACATTAAATTACAAATGGTGAGGCATCAGATAAATATGCGTGTCAGTATACTCGAGGCCACATGGCAAACGGCACATCATCAACAATGGCCCACATAGCTTGGTCAAACAGTCAACGCGCTATGCCATATCAGCAACAATGGCCCACATTTTATGGTCAACGGTCAAAGACTCGACCAAACTTGTAGAGAGAGAAATACCATTTTGTCACATGATGCATCTCCCACTCTCTCCTTTGGCCTATAAAAGGACATGTTCCAAGGGCAAGAGGAGAAGGCCGAACTAGAGAGCAGACAAGGATGGACAATCCCCCTAGACACGGAGGGCTCTTATACTCTTACACCCATATTTTCCCTACACTCCACACTTTCACTAAGGGAGTCAATGTAGATTGCCATCTTCTTTCTTACTCTCTCTCTCTCTCGAGTTTGCCTTGGATTCCACCTCTCTTAGTCCACCTCGGATTCTACTATGTTGTGAGTTATATGATGTAGGACACGAGTAGCCTTAAATAGATAAAGATGTACAGAATTCAAAGACTGAAAGTTCAAACAACTAGGGCTGAAATTTGGAGGTTTGATAGTAAAAATGTAGAAAAACAAAGGGGAAAAAAATAGAATAGAGCTACCTATTGGAATCACTCCAACAGGGCCTAGGTATCCCACCTAGAGAAGGCCTCACACCCTCAGAATTTGTGAATCGCTCACGAAGAAATCTCAAATATATTTTGTATTCATTCATTGACTTAGTAATCAGAATTACATAGTATCCTTTTTATAACTACTGATGACCTTTGGATTACCCTACAATGGAGGTAATCAAAAGTTGACTCTAGCATAATAAATTACAAATAACTTAATTGATGCAATTTACCCAAACAATGCAATTTTCACCATAATTGATGCAATTACCAAAATTATGCAATTTGACCAAATCCCCCAAATAATGCAAGACTCCAAGTGGACCCCCCATCATCTATCATGTGCCGAATTAAGGCTTGAGCCCTATAACATTCCTTTTTGCGCCTTTTGTATGTCCTTAAAGTTGTCTGCCTTTGATCTATATCATTATAACTCACCATTTGTTATTTTAGTATGAACCGTGAACCTAGTACCTACACTATTCATCTATGAAATGCGAACAAGGCAAGGGTGATGATGATGACGATGCTGATGGTGACTGTATTTCATATTTAAAGCTTTTTTTGCCCCTGCTAGAGCATCATTCTTGCTTTGTGCAAGTTATTTCTCTGTTCCCGCTGTCTTATTTTTCTTTGTTATGTTCTTATATTGAATTGCCACTGCAGGATTTGATTAATGTTGAAATGATATAATTTCTTTGTGAAATATTAAGTCCCAAAGTTGGATTTTAGTTGATTTATGATTCCATTTTTATAATGCAGCACTAGAGGCCTGTAAATGCATTCAATGTCCATTTCCCGTGCGTGTACTTGGTGAAAATGATGACCTTCTGAGCTCAATTCCAACAAAAGGTATCGTCTCCCTTCTATTCTTAGAACTTTTTGGGACATGCATATTGTTAGTGAGAAATCTAGGACCATACAAAGTTGCTCAATGCTGTGATCTACGCTTAGAAAAGGGGGGTTGGGGGGTGGAGAATAGGTCTTAATTGCTTCAATCAACTGTTTTTAATGAATTTTTGCATTTTAACAAAAATAAGAGAAATTCAAAAGTTAAAACTGACTAGAACACCTTTAAAATGATCCATTCATCATGTCTGATAGCTTATAAAAATTGTAAAATAAACATTCACACAATAAGTGCGTTTTTTTGATATGAAAACCTCAAGGAAAAAAACCATGGGATCTAATTCTGACAAATCAAATCCACTATGAGAAATAGATTATAGAACCAGACCAGTTTTCAAAACTTTAGATACCTCCAGTTACCTCTCCACACTGTTTGATGCAAATCTCTCTACTTGAGTCTCTAGGCTGTTGCTCCATCAACAGATCCACAACACACATTCTGCTTCTCTGCAAGCACATTGATCTTCATTGCTAACTGTCTAGGTTGTGTGTTCATTGTGTAGAAAAGCAGTGTTGCATTCTCCGTAAGCACATCCCAATTGATGATCAACAACTTAACAACATACTCACCATACTAGGTGAAATGATGAACATGAAAGAAAGATAATTGTAGCAGGGAAATGTTAGATTGCACTCTAATGTGCTTTATTTATGCTCAGAGAATGCTTGCCTTAGTTGTTTAGAAGCCTAACAAGTTGTGTTTAAATTTGAAACCTGCCAAGCTTGATTGACTGATTAGTGTCTTCAATCGATCTAGATGTTCCAGAAACCAGTCGATGGATCAAGATATTAATAGAGTTATACTGGATAACAATATTTTTCTCTAAGTTTTTTTTCGATCGATTCACTCTTTGATCATACCTGTTGGACTTCTTTCGATCAATTGATGCTTCTATTGAGTCATATTGGACTTCTACCCATATTTCTCAATGCCTATGAAGCATGGACACTGGACATGGGACACGGGTACGATACGACACGGACACAGCGATTCGGCAAAGTTCAAAAAACTAGGGCACGGATACAGCAAGGATACAACAATAAAATAATACTATATATATTAATATATATATATATAATTTTTTTATCTTTACTAAATTTATAATCTATATTCATAAATACAACCTTTAAGCCCACCAAATAGCCCATCATATTAAAAAAGCAATTAAAGGTCCAGGAGCCAAAAGAGGGTGGTAGACCAAACCTAAAGCAAAGTCATGGCCCAGAAAGCTTAGGAGCCCAATCTAAATCACAGCTAATCGACTACTACTAGGGCTTCACTTCAGAGAACAGAATTGGTAGCCATGGAAGGGTATTCACGGTGGCACCCAGTGCTGATTATTCGGCGGTCTTGGAGGAGGATGAAGACAAGAGGTCGGTATGTTCCATGCTTGAGCGATCTGAAACTTTGATCTACTTTGAAACACACACACACACACACACGTATATATCTTTCATCGTCTCCTTTTTTCTTTTCAAAAAAATCCAAACGGCATGTACCCAGCGTGTCCGACATGAAAAAAGGAAAAAGAAAAAAGAGGAGTGTTGGACACGTGTCCGAGGCTGGGACACGCGTGTCCGTGTCCGACACCGGCATGGAAGCCATTCTTTCCATGTCAGTGCTCATAGCTCAATGCAATGCTGATCGATTGACCCATAGAATTGGCAAGCACACTTTTTCAAATTTTTAGAAAATTTCAATTTTTAACTAAACCAGTTAATTAATCAACTTAGTAAGACAAATATAACTCAATAGTTTAGAAGTTTTACTTAGTCCTATAAACAAAGATAAAATCTTTCTATAATTTTTAAAAAATTTCAATTTCTTTTATATTTAAAAATATAATCCTAAATCATGCTGAGAATCCTTCAATTTGAATCACAAGAAAATTTTAAATCTTCCCAAAAATATTAGGACTCCACTAATTTCTCAAATTCCATGTCAGTTAAATTCATAATGCCAATAAACTTCTCCTAAAGTTCTGTACACATTATTTTTTGGTGATGCTTTCAACAAATTTATTGTGCATTAAAATAACTTACACACATACATAAACATAGTCTAATTTCTGTTAAAATACTCAGATATTGGACACTGTGAATTAAAATAATCATGAATGCAGACCAGTAATTTTAAGAGAGCTTTGAAGATGCTTTCATGCATTTCTAGGAGCTCTTGCTACATTATGTTGAGGAATGTACTTCTTTGGAGGATTTTTGGCCAAAGCAGGAGGAATTTTCAAAACAACTTTTGAAGTTTTCATTACGATTAGAAGTTTTCATTATTGTTTGAAGCTTTTTCAATTGTAAGTAGCTTATCATTAAGCTTGCGTAGAACTCATGAAAACTTTCATTCTCTTCCACCTAAGAGATCCAGATTTAATAGTTAGCATTTGTATCTTAGAAATTTTGACTGTAATAGTTTAATAGTTCCTTCATGTCCTTTTTGGAAGATATATTCCATGCATCTTTAGCAGAGGTACACATAGAATCCTAGCAAACTCAATAGGGCTGAGTCAGGTGACAACACTACATATACCATTCAAAGCTTTAGTATGATAATTAGCCTCAGCAATTTTCTATTATTAGTTCTCTTTTTAGTTGGGTGATGGGGAGAAATTGTACATCTATTGATGAAATCGTGGATTTTTTGGGTTCTTTGGGTCCCAAGGACTCTTTCTTTGGCTTCGGCCTTTGTATAGCTATTGGGATGCGTTCCCCTTTTGAACGCTTTTATATACACTTTTACTTATCAAAAAAAGAAAAAGAAAAAAGAAGATAATTAGCGTCAGCAATTTCATCCTTACCTCCAATATCTGCTAGTTTAAGGCACGTCCTTACCTTCTACGACCTTGATTGGATGTACCCATCCAATTTCTATTGCAGTCCAGACCTTTTCTACAATATATTTGAGACAATTCTTCATCCTTGCCTTCCAGTAGCCATAAGACGTTCCATGATTCCATCAAACAAAATGGGTCGAGATATGGATCCATCTTCCTTATTTGTGATCTACTCACTAAAATAAATCAACTTGCTCAGAAATCTAGGACCATATCCCTAGGCTCTGATATAGAGTAGGGCAAGGCTGTTACTTAGACCTAAGGGGGTGAATAGGTCATAATTGTATTAGTTGGTTGTTTATTTCTAACAAATTTATAAATTTTAGGGTAAAGTGCAAAAAACACCCCTGAATTATTGCCCTTTTGCAAATAATCCCCTTGAACTACAAACTACACTTGAACTAACGATTTGTTACGTTTAAGGACAAACCCATCACAAAAAGACTATTTTACCCTTTCTCATTAAATTTGTCATTTCTTATTAAATTATTTTTATTATCTTTTTCTCTTATCTAAATATTAACTATACCATTTACCTTAAGTTTATTATTAGTATCAATTTATCATAAAAATGGAAAAAATAAATAAAGTTGTAACTACCATTTTCTAAAATGATTAACTTGTTATTAAAACTTTACTATTTATAATAAAACTTATTATACTCGGTTTAAAAATTTTTACCCAAAAAAATACCTTCTCTTTCATACAAGATATTCATGAAAAATTAATAAATTACTTAAATAGAAAATACCTTCTTTTTCATGCAATAAATTCATGAAAAATCAAGAAATAACTTAAATTGTTTTAAGATTTTTATTTAAACAATTAATTTCAAGAATTAAAGGTAAATTTATGCAAATTTAATGGAGAATATGTAATCAAATTAGTATGATTTTTTGTCATTATTTATTTTAATAAGAAAAATGGATCAAGTGTAATTCAATAAGAAAGGGCATTATGGTCATGTAATGAAAAATAGCCGGCATGGGGGCATTTTGGGGTTATCTCGAATTCCCAAAACGCTTTCGTTGGAGGTTGCCATATTCTTGATTTAGTCCTTATTGCAGGTGAGTGCGTGGATTCTAGACTGTGCAGTGGGATCAAGACCTATGATCACGTCAGTTGGAGCCTCCTTTATTTGTCGGAGAGGATTTGTTTTGGAGAGAGATGGAGAAGATGAATTGAGTTTTGTATCTCAAGCATTAGATTCTCGGTCCTCTGAATGGAGCTCTGATGGGGTTCTTTTATAGTTTGAAGGGGTTGAGGCGAGGAGATCCTTTTTCTCCTTTTCTTTTTCTCATTGTGATGAAGGTTCTTAGTAGGATGATGAAGAGTGGTGAATTTGGGTTTATTGTGAGGCTTTCTGGCGGGGAGTGACGTTCTTAGTTAATTGGAGATCTCCTATTTTATGTTTGCTGATGCTACTTTGGTTTTCTGTAATGCGGATGTGTCTCAGATGAGGTATTTGAGATGCGTTCCGATATGGTTTCAGGCTTCCAGTTTGAAGGTAAGTGTGGGAAAAGGCGTTTTGATTCCAGTCGTGGAGGTTTGTGAGATTGTCCCTCTTGCCGACACTTTGGGTTGTTGCATTGGCTATTTTCCCATTTCTTATCTGGGGCTACCTCTTGGGACTCCATTGAGGAGAGTGGGAAATTGGGATCCTGTGGTGGAGAGGTTCGAGAGAAGGTTGGCAGGCTGGAAGAAATAGTATCTTTCGAAGGGTGGAAAGGTTACTTTGATGAAGAGCATTTTCTTGAGTCTCTGTACTTATTTCCTTTCTCTTTTTCACATTCCCTCTTGGCTGCAGCGGAATTTTCTATGGGGAGGGAACGGGGAGGAGTTTTAGCATCATTTGGTCAACTGGAAGCAAGTGTGTTGCTCGATTCGAAAGGGTGGGTTGGGTATCATTGTATCAGAAGTTTGACGCCTTTCAATAAGGCCCAACTGGGAAAGTGGCTTTGGAGTGGAGAGCCACAGATTGTGGAGGAGGATGATTGCAGGTAGATTTGGGGTGGCTAGGGGTGGATGGTGCTGTCTTGAGGTGAAGATTACTGGTGGAGTTGGGATTTGGAAATTCATCCCGAAGGGGTGGGATAAATTTTCTGCACACATCAGGTTTCGAGTCAGGAACGACAACATGATTTGTTTTTGGGAGGATATATGGTGGTGATTGTTCTCTTGCCTTTTCTTTTCCTAGACTCTTTAGGATTGCCACGGACGGATGCGCCTTGTGTTTGAGTGCTATCACCTTAATAGTGGGAGAACATCCTAGGATGTGTGCTTTCTAAGGCACTTTCAGGATTGGGAGATTGAGAAAGCCATTGGCTTGTTTAAGTTATTGTATTGCCAAGAGATTGTGGGTGGAGTTCCTGATGTTTTGGTGTGGGTTCCTTCTTCCCAGGGTCATTTTGGGGCTCGGTCTTCTTATAGGTGTCTAATGGATGCTCCAGGGATTCATTCTCGTGGAAGGCTATTTGGGGTTCTAAGGCCCCTCTCGAATTGCAATTCTTCGCTTGGACATGTGTTAGGGAAGATTTTGACCCAGGATAATCTTTTAAGGAGGAGTCAGGTTGTGGTCAACTGCTGCAGCATGTGCTTGAGAAATGAGGAGACAGTTGATCATCTTCTTTTGCATTGCCCAGTAGCTAGGGGCTTTTGGGTTTTGATGTTGAGTTTGTTTGGGTTCAGTGGGTTGTGACCAGGTCTTCTAGAGGCTTGGTTGAGGCTTGGAGAGGTTGTACAGTGGGGGCCCAAGATCGTGATTTCTAGAGGGTCAAGCCTTTGTGCGTCTGGTGGTGTTTATGACTTGAAAGAAATAGGAGATCTTTTGAAGGAAATGAGACCTCTATTGGCACGCTGAAGTTCTCCATTATTAGCACTCTTTTTTGTTGGGTTTTAGGGGAGAAATTGTAAATCCATGGATGAGATAGTTGATTTTGTGGATTCCTTGAGAGTTTCGAGGCTCTATTTGGCCTTGTGTCGTTTATGAGGGATGCGTTCCCCTTTTGAACGCTTCTTAATACAGCCTTATTAAAAAAGAAAAAAGAAAAAAAAAAAAAAGAAGAGCAATTACATAATGAGAACGTTGATTTTACGTGGAAATCCTAAGAGGGAAAAACAATGGGACGTAGTTCAGGCAGATCAAATTGACCATGACAATAAAACCAGGTTGTTGGTTTCCAGGATGCTACCTCTTGACAAGACTGATGCCAATCTCTCTACTCGAGTCTCTAGGCTGCTGCTCTACTAGCATATCCTCTTGACACAAATGGATCCTTCGATCAATCAAAATGCTCTTTTGTTGTTACATTAGGATTTTAATTTAAGAAAATTTACTTACTGAAAAAAAAAAAAATTTAAGAAAATTTCAAAAACATCTTTATTCTGTTCAAAAGGAATTTTTATGAATCAAAACATGTAAAAGCCTAATTGAATGAATGCATGAATAATATGAACCCCACTGGCAAGTGCATATTTGAGAGTTAAAGGTCTCTATCAATTGTTTGATTCCCATGGTAAGTGAGTGGCCAAGTCTAATGAATTTATTTCACACAAGCGTAAATGAGAGTCTTAATAGGACTTCACATTCCATTTGAAAGGGGCCTTTTTGCCCTTGAATGTAGCTTAGAATTTCGAATTTGCCCTTGGACCGAGCTAGTACAACTAACTCTAACTAATCCAAAATTTATCAAAAAAATACAACTAACTCTAACTAAATGTTAAAATTATCTAAAAGTTGAACAAAAATTATAGACTCAAGCCTTTGAACCAAAAGAAGCCAATATGAGTTTTACTGACCCAAGCAGGGTTAATTTGTCGTCATTGTTATTGAAAGAAACCTATCCATATATCTATATGTATGAAAAACTTGTGAAGTTGGAATTGGCAGCAGTGGTAATGTGACATTAACAACATACTATGGACCTGTTCCAGTTGGGTTTAAACAACTTAAATGATTATGAGAAAGAGATTATAAAACCAGGTTATCAGTTTCCAGAACCCTAGAAATGCCCTAGTTACCTCTTGACAAAGAATGACGGCAAACTCTCTACTCTAGTCTCCAGGCTTCTGCTCCATTAACAAATGCACTCCTTACGTGTTGTGCTTCTCCACAAGCGCATTGATTTCCATGGCTTTTCGTACAGGTGGTGTTTTGTTGTGTAGAAAACATGGTGTTATATTCACCATAAGCATAACATGATTGATGATCAATACCTTTGATAACTCACTCACATACTAGATGCAATGATGAGTGTGAGAAAATTCTCGCAGGGAAGTGCTAGATCGCACTCTAATATACTATAGATGCTTATTGTATGCTCAAAGAATGCTTGTCTCAGTTGCTTATTTTCTGAACATAGGTGGTCTTTATATAGAGTTTAGAAGCTTATAGAGACTAGGGCTAAAAAAAATATATTCTGTTCTAATTGAAAATTGAATTTCGCTGTGTTCATCAATCCATCTAGTGTCAATTGATCAACACCTTGCCAGTACGATGGATCCTTTGATCGATCAAAATGCTCTTTCCTTGTTGCATTTGGATTTTAATTTAGAAAAATTTCAAGAACATATTTATTTTGTTCAAAAAGGATTTTTACGAATAAAAACATGAAAAACCCTAATTGAATGAATGCATGAATAATGTGAATCCTAATGGTGAGTGCATATTTGAGAGTTGAAATTACCTTTTTTCCCTTGAATGTAAGGTTCGGTTTCTAACTCTTTTTTTTTTTTTTTTTAGAAGTAAAAATATATTAGAAAGCGTTCAAAAGGGGAACACATCCCAAAAGCTATACAAGTGCCTAAGCCAAGAAAGAGGTCCTAAGGACCCAAAGAACCCAAAAAATTAACGATTTCCTCTATAGATATACAATTTCTCCCCATCACCCAACTAATTAGGTTCAATTTTCTAATTCACCTGAGGTAATACGACTAACTCTATATTTTAAATCTTTTTTTTTTTTTTTTTTTTTTTTTTTTTAAGTTAAAAAGAAATTATAGACTCAAGCCTTTGAAATGAAAGTGTAGCTAATATAAGTCCTACCGACCTAACAATTTGATCAAACTTGTAGTTGTCGGAAGCACAATAATTTGTCGTCCTTGTTTTTGAAAGGAATCTATCTACAATCCTATATGCATGAAGAGTTTATGATGGTATAATTGGCAATAGTGCTAATGTGATATTAACAACTTACTTTGGCCCTTTTACAGTTGTTTTTGTTTAGTTATTTAATTAAACCACTTAATTCCTCTACCCCACCCCCCGGCGCCGCCGCCATGGTCCTTACTAACTTAACATGCTTCAATAATGGTGTCTGAATTAGCACATTGGATAACCTTGTTGTGAGCTGCTTCACTTTTAGTTACTCCACTTTCAGGCTTTTAAAACATTATCAGCTTTTACTTCTAATTTTCAACACCTCTTGAGGAATTCTTCATTTCTCAGAATGCACCTAGGTCCTTTTTTTGGTCTTGGACGCCCTTTGGTAGGAGGGGTGGAAAAATGGATAGAAGGGAGAGAGGGAGGGGAAGGGATGTTGTTCATCCCTCCTTTTGTTTGATTGGATGGAAGGGAAGGAAATAGATTCTATTATTATATTACCAATATACCCTTATGTCTTTTCAATTCTTCCCCCGATCACCAACTTTAAAATTTTAATACTTTACATTCATCTGTCAGGTGTTGGGCTAAAAAATAGTTTGTAGTTCTTCCATTTTCTCTTAGATGAACTTTAATTTTGAATATATTCTCCACGAGTTGCCCAATCTTCAGTTTCCTGATTATTTCTTTTCTTGCTGAGACAGAAAAAAAAAAGTCCTTAATCTTTGGGTCGATTATTTTGCATTTTTTTAATGAAAATTTAGAACTCCCAAGATGAATTACTTTCTCGTGTTAAAAGCTTTCTGGTAATTAATTATCCATTGTAAAACAAAATTTGTTGTAATCTTCAGATCTGGAACCTCCTCGCCAAAGGCCGGAGACATCTGCCAGAACTGCCAAGAGATTGATTGCTCATGGAATGGGAATAAAGTTGCCCTCCACAGCCTTTGGGTCCAGTGATCTGAGAAAACAGGAAGAAGCCAGAAGAAACCGCATAGTTTCGAGGCAAAATATGAGGGATGATGCCTGGGGCGATGACGGACGCAACTAAGATTCAGCTGTTCACGATTTCTTCTCGAATATGAATTAGTTTTAATCCATGAATTTACCTCTTATTGACTATTGAATGGTGTTTCCTGCAATATCTTCTTAATACTTTGGAGCATCAACAAGTTTCAAAAAGTATCGGTGCTTAATTACCCATTTTAACTGTGTGTGTACATACCAGACCCTAATCTCCTGTAACTACAAGTCAAAATGTTTTGTACACTTGGAAACATAGGCATCATTTTTTAACTGAATTATCTGCAATGGTGTTAGTGTTATAAATATTATTGTTAACATATAGTTCCGGTTTATTATAATGGTATGCTTTAGTGTACAATTACACCCTAGATGATTTGTATTTTATTTTTTATTTCCTTTTTCAGAGTTGAATTTGGGCATTCATTTGATAACTGTCTATCTATATCTATACTACTAATAAAAGTGTGTAGATATTTTTATTTTTTATCTACTTTTTATTTATTTGTTATTTATCCAGTAATACCAAGAGATACTAGTTTCATTATTTATTCGAGAGGACAAAGTTCAAAGTGAAGATTTGAGCGTTGGTTTAGTAGTAAAAGCACTAAAACCTTTTTTAGGACACTATTCTTATTTTATTTTATTTTTCTTATTCAAAACAAAGAAAGTTGCATTGTAAAAAGGTTAATTATTTGCAGCCATTTTTTGAGAGCTAATAAGACCATCGCCAATGCAAAATGTCATTTTTATTTAGGCGACTGTGAGATAATAATCATCAAATCTAACTTAGTCTTGAAATTTAGGCAACTATATATATATATATATAAACACATATACCAACACTGACATATATATACATAAGCACAACACCTCAGAAGTTCAAAACCCAAATATCAGTTTGGCAGAAGCAATAGCAATAGTTATAGTTTGGGTTATATTTGACACAAAATTTGGCAAAGCTATATTTTGGCAACCCATTGGAGAGTCTATGTTAAACCCACCGCTATATTTTAAAATTGGCAACCCATTTGACAGCTCATTGAAGTTGTTCTAACTTAACAACTTTTGGCAAACAAATAGCATTCTCTTTAGGTGAGGAGGGATTTGAGCCTTGTAATGAACATTTGTGACTGTTCTATGATTTACCTAAATCTCAAACATATAATTCTATGAACTCAAAAATGATGTTGGACGGTTTGGTAAAATTTAGTAATTTTAGTTATTTAGATTTTTTATTTATTTTATTTTTATAATTTTTTTTTTATTAGAGATTTTTATTTAGGGTACTATGAGTGTTTAGTTTTCAATTATCTCTGTTCCGACTAAAGCAGGAAAACCTTTATCGTTCTCAATTCGAAGAGGAAATGACATAATTTTGCTTATAATTAATTGTTTGAGAATGATTGGTAACTTCTTAAAAAAATGGGTAATTTACCTGCTTCTTTTGTTAGAGTCAACGTCACGACGAATTGGGTTTTACCTTTCATATATATCTTCTCTACTCTCTCAATATTATTCAATCCACAAATATTTTGCCATAGGATCAGATTTTGGTAATATCAAACTTGGGTGGTGATTCCATATATAATCCATGGTGGTTTTGATTTGATAGGATCAAATTTGGGTGTTTTAGAAGAATCACAGGTTTTGGAATAGTAAATTTGATGGGATTTGAATTTGAAATTGAGATTTAAAAATGATGGAATTTCAAATACCTTCTAACATGTTTCAAATCCCGTCTAAAAAATCAGGATTTGACGGGCTTTGAAAGATAAATATTGTGGAAGATGATATTTTCGTAATTAATTCGAAGCCACTGCTCGGCCTTTGCTCTGCAGCTGCTACTGTCAAGATGTTCTATTTTCTTCTCTCTATGATATATCTTGTGGTTTGGAGAGAACCGATGGTTGTCGGTGGTGGGTTTTGTTTGTTGGAGGTTGTGCACAATGGTTGAAGGTGGGGAAGACTGAAGAAAGAAAAAAACAAAATAAAAAATATGAGGGCATTGTTAATATTTCACATCCATGAATTATATATATTTTTATAATAAATTAATAAATAAGGATAAATTAGTAATTGTATTGCTCTGCCGGTAGAAAAGTTGTCTCCGATGACGTTAAAAGGCACATTTTGCTTACTTTTAATAGTTGAGGGGGCAACTTGCCTTTAAAAATAGTTTAGAGGTGGAGGTGCATTATACTACAATGGTACAGTAAATAGGTGTTTTTTTGCTCTTTTGCCTGTTAAGTATTACTTAACCTATTACAATATCTGTATTAACTCTAACCTATTAAATATTGTTGTAAATATATATATATATATATATATATATATATATATCTCTAGTCTGGAGAATATAAACATATATAAGTTAGTAATTAAATATAATCAAATCATTTTTTGTTTGGTATTCTCTAATCAGATTGATCCACTATCAGTTTTGTATATTTGTTACACAAATTCAATCATTCACAATTCAAACCGCACAACAAAATTTATATTTACACCATACTGGTTGAATGAATAAATATTACACTTTTATAAGTTTTTATATAAAAAATAATTATATATATTAATAATTAAAAATTTAATCTATAAACGGAAATATAATTATCAGGTAATATACTTGTTCATTTTTTAATATATATATATATATATTGTTTTTTTTCGAAAGATAATATATATATATATTGCTGTGTATCAATTTCGGCATACTTTTTAATTACTAGTAATTTGCAGAGTAATTTATATAATAATTAGTTTTCAAAGTTAAGCGCTTAACTACAGAGTTCTGATAGGTTCACGGCTATCACGGCTTTAAAACGCGTTGTGTCCACACTCAGACGATGTGGGATTGTGTACCTGTAGCTCGCCCAGTGTGGTAGCCTACTGGTGCCCCCGCACACGCTGACAGGCTCCCGCCCACAAGGTCGCCACAATCACCCCCTCTTTGGGGCCCAACGTCCTCGTTGGCCACACTTCCGACTGGGTCAGGTTTTGATACCATTTGTAACAATCCTCACCCTGGCCCCAGGGGGTCACCCATCCTGGTACTACTCCAAGTTAAGCATGCTTAACTACAGAGTTAAGATAGGTTCACGGCCATCACGGCTTTAAAATGCGTTGTGTCATAGAAAGGTGTTGAATCTACATATAGCACTTGCCCCATCCACACTGAGACGATGTGAAATTATGAACATGTAGCTCGTTTAGTGTGGTAGCCTACCGGTGCCCCTGCACACGCTCACACACACCCGCCCACGAGGTCGCCACACTCAATGTATACCGTCCCCTCTGGATTGCAGTTTTCTCCCTTTGTCCAACAAGCCTTTCAGGATGAGATACCACTTCCGCCGGCAAACCTACTAAGGACGATCACGGTCGCTAGGAACCTCTATAGAGTTTGAATTTTAGGGTTTCGAAGTAGCCATGTCAATAATACCACAAGAGCTCTACCCAAGTCAAGAAGACCTCCTCTACGAAGAAGAGCTCCTCCGAAATCCCTTCAGCTTGAAGCTATGGTGGCGCTACCTAATCGCTCGAACCGACGCGAAATTCAAGAAACGTCACACGATCTACGAGCGAGCCCTCAAAGCCCTCCCTGGAAGCTACAAGCTCTGGTACGCTTATCTCCGCGAACGCCTCGAACTCGTTCGCAACCTACCCATCACACACTCACAGTATCAAACACTCAACAACACCTTTGAAAGAGCTCTTGTCACAATGCACAAGATGCCTCGCATTTGGATCATGTATTTACAAACCCTAACCCATCAGAAGTTGGTCACTCGCACTCGCCGCACTTTCGATCGTGCTCTGTGTGCGCT